CAGAGGGGGCCGCGCCAAACGCACCAGGCCTCCTCGTCGCGCGCGAGGGGCGCCCCGCTCTTGCGGGCCCCAGACTTAGCACTTTGAGGATCCTCAAAGCAGGATTAGCCAGACCCCATCTGGAAAGAAGTGTCTTTCGGCCCAGTTGGGTGATGGCAGTAATTTGTTTGGGATGTGACTGAAGCAGGCACCGTCACCACGCGGCCAGGCAGGCAGTGCCCCCGGCATGCAGACCCAGGCTGGCCCCACGGCCGTCTGCACAGAGCCCCCCACTTGGCCTCTGGAACTGCTTTGCCCCCGGCAAGCTGCTCTCCAGGGCAGGGGGCCCTGCCAACCTGGGGGTCTCATGGAGGGCCCGGGGAGCATGGGGTGCCATGGCCACTGTGCTCGGGACACTGCACCTGTGACCACAACTGTGTCTCCCACACAGGATCCTGCCTGTGAAAAATCTGGTTTTTAAAATATTTCTACCCCACCGCCAAAAAAAAAAAAAAAAAAAAAAAAAAAAAGACCTTGCATTGGGAACCAGGAAGCAAAGAAGGCACCTGGCCTTCCTCGGTTCTACAGGGGAAGATGGAGATCTGTCAGCCCGGCTGATGTGCAGCAGGTGGAAGCCGCCTAGCAAATCGGCAAGCAAATGATCCGGGCACTTCGAAACGCTAACATTACCTCCCTAATGATAGCTTCCATCAGTCAGCTTTGGTGTGGGAAGAGGGTGTGAGCCGCGCTTGGCTGGATGGGAGCCGGCCACCTGATCTGGGGCACCCCCCCCACCAGGAGCTCCCAAGTAGGAAAACAGCAGGCAGAAGTGAGACGGACTCTGAGGGGTGGGGAGGGGCCTGGGGGGCACTGGGTCCCCAGTGACGCTTCCCGGGCTGGACTTGAGAACCATCGGAGGCTGCCGGAATCCAAACTCACAGCCCCACTTGAAAACACCGCAACGTGCCATCACTCATCCCGCCTGCTCCATGGGGCGCTGGGATTGCAAGAGAATGCCGTTTCATTTTCCCAGATTTAAAAGCAAGCTGTGACAAGCAGTGGTCTCCTGCCATCACACACAAGCCTCGGGGCTGTCCCCTGTCCCCCACAACAAACCAGAGGCCCCTATAGCCTACCCAGCCAGCCAGAAACATTTCTTTTCCAGGACTCTCCACGGACTGTGTGCATGGGTTTTCAGTTTACTTTTTGAAAAACTTCAAGGTCATTCCACAAAACTCAGAAATCCAACCCAAATCCACTCCCAAGTTTCTCCTCCTTCTCCGTGCCTCTCATCCCAGGAAGAATGCAAACGAGGCTGCCTTCTCAGATGCTTCCCTGTCTTCAACCATGGAAATCACGCCTGATTTCGTCAGTCTGCGTCCCAGGCTCACGCCTAAGCTCCTAAACCAACAGTAATGAAAGACAAGGTGCATTCCTCAACTCCTAATGCAATCCACTGGTTTCCCACACCCCGCGTGAGAAATGTGTCAGACGCCCTGCTGTCTCCTCAAGGTAGAGGAGCTCTGATCTCCCCACGCCCATTCTACAAGCCAGGGAGAAGCACCTGAGGCAGGCCACTGGGCAGGTGCAGTGTTGTCTCACAGGAGTGCACACACAGCTGTCCATGCCCCAGCGTCATCCTGCCCTGTCCACGCCAGCACTCCACCCTGACAGAGGCAGCACTATGCTTTGGCACCCCTTGGCAACACCTGGGCAACCTGGAGAGCTGACGGTGGAATCACAGAAGGCCGGGAAGAGATGGTTAGGAAGGGGCCAGCATTGTGGCATAGCAGGCTACACCTCCACTACAACACCGGTATTCCATCCAGCTCCCTGCTAATGCATCTGGGAAAGCAACAGAAGATGGCCCAAATCCTTGGGCCTCTGCACCCGTGTGGGAGACCCGGATGAAGCTCCTGGCTCCAGCCTGGCCCAGCCCTGGCCATCACTGCCATTTGGGGAGAGAACCAGTGGATAGAAGACTTCTCTCTCTGTCTCCTTCTCTGTAACTGCCTCTCAAATAATTCAATCAATCTTAGGGGGAAAAAAAACACATCTTTAGGTGGGGGTCTTGATGCTTGAACTTTTACTGAAGTCACTTTAAAAAACTTCACAGTTCAGAAAAGGGACAAAGACCCCAGAGACACAAAGACCCTGCCTGCTTCAGTCTCTTACACACACACTTCATGGCCTTCAGCTGGGAGCTAAAACTGTCTAAATGTCAAGTGTCGGTAAAACCTGCCTTTGGATTACAGGCAGGTGGTTGACCTATACTGCTCAGGGCTGCTTTTCCTAATTGTTTTCAAGTTCCCCTGACTCCGCCCCCCAGCCCCTCTCCCAGACTGCTAAAAGCAATAGGGAGTCAGCCCCCAGGGAGGAGATCCCCACCCCCCACCCCAAGCCTCCCTGTGCAGCTCCTCTCCCTCCTCCGCCCCTCCCAGCCTGGATCCCGAAGCCCAGGTGATCTAGGACACCGGGAAGCCCCCCCCCCAAACCTCTCCTGCATCCCCAGATGTCTGAGATGCTGGGTGCATCCAGGGCTCAGTTTCTCTGCGCCTCCATTTCCCATCTGCAAAACGGGCCACAGTCCCCCCCTCCCGAGGGCTGGGGGAGAAAGTGCTAGACTAGCGGGAGGGGTTGCTATTGTCATTACTGAGTGTGTCTGGCACTTTGCTGCAAGCTGACTCCTATTCCCCCAAGGGCAAGTTCACGCACTCCTGTGGTCAAGCAAACTTTGACACGTTGTCCATCCTCATCCCAAAGAACAGGCTAGGTCCAATGAGGCAGCCTGAGTGGCTGAAATCAGGATACCCCCACCCCACCCCCGGCACTGGCACCTGCAGGTCACAGCTGCTGGGCTGGGGCTAAGGGACAGGGGGCACACAAATCGGAACCATCTAGGCAAAGTCACTTGTGTGGCCACAGGAACACGTCCACACCGCCATCCAACACCACGATCCGAGCACTCTCAGAGGCGAGGGACAAGGCCACAGCCCCGCCACGGAGGGCTCCTGAGGCCCCCTGCCTTGTGCCCCGGACCCCACCTGGCCTGCGTGACAAGTCAGAGCCGCAGTCGCCTGGGGAGGGCTGTAATTAGGCAGGCCTGCTGGCAGTTCCCTTCTCACTCCAGACACTTATTATGTCCACTTCCTGTGCGCCGGGCCAATCGCGCAGCCCAGCGGCCAGGCACTGGGGCCTGGGGACACAGACGGCAGCGGCAGGCAGCGAGGGCGCTTGCTCTTGCCACCTGGGGCCTGCCCTCCCCTCCTGAGTGAGGCTTTTCACCAGGTGCTGGGGGGGGGAGGTAGTGACCTTCCCCTCCCTCAATTCCCCTCTCCCCATCACTTGCCACAGAGCTCTTTGCAGATAAACAGAGATTTTAAAGGAAAGACTCCTTTTGCTAGCACGGCTGAGGACAAGCCACACGCACGAAGGCACAGGCGCTCAGGCTGAGCCTCCCAGCGTGGGACGACTCCACCACGGAGGAACCTCGGCTGCTGGGGAGTTTGGTGCAGAGCCGGCAGGCGCAGGTATATTAGCAGCCATCGCCAGGCTAGCTGGAAATAAGTCCTGGCGTCTTCGAATATCCCAAGAACTGTTTGTAGTGGAAACGGGGCTAATTATTGCCCGAGAGGCCCCAGGGCAAAGACCGTAGCCTCTCTCACTCCTCCCGGGGTTAAGGTCAAGCCTGAACTCCCTCGTCTGTTAAACGGGACAACATCCCTTGTCTCCCGGCCCTGGAGAGGCAAACAAGATCGTGTAAATACATCTTAGGGTGTCGAGCCCGACACAAAATAAACCACGACCGTTTTCAAAACCCTAAGCAGCGCTGTTGCAGGAGCCCCTTATGCGGGCACCACCCTGCTTGTGTCAGAGCCCTCCCTGACCACAACGGCCTGGACGGCAGACACGGTGGCCACTGCCATCCTGCAGGGTCACAGGTCACAAGCTGATGGGGTCTGGACACACAGCAAGGCAACCGTGTTCCTCCTGATCACTGCCTGTCCTTCCCCCAGGGCTACCCCCAATTACAACGGCCGAGCCTGGGGGTCACCCCACACTCCCTAGGTAACATTACACCTGCTCCGCGACTCACCATTGCCTTGCAAACCTGCAACCAGCTGTTGAAAAAAAAAAAACAAAACTCACTCCCTGGTTTAAAACAAAAAAGTTATTTCCATGTTTCCATGTGCCGCGTGTCCCGTAGGCGGAGGCAAAGCCTTTCTTCGCGCAGGAGCAGGCACCCCGTGCGCCGCGCGCGAAAGATCCCCACGACTTAGCTCCCGCATTTCCAAAACTGGTTTCCAGCACCATCTATGAATAAGCCATTCCTGACGGCCCAGGGAGCCATGTCGCCTGCAGCCTGGCCCAGGGGCGCTTCCTAAACAGCCCGAGAGCCAGCGCTCACAGTGCTCCCTGGAGCTCCCGCTCCCTGACGCAGAGCAGAGACTCCCAGGGAGGAAGTGGGGGCTCAGGCGCGGCCTCCGCACGGTGGACAAGGCTGGCCCAAGGGCACAGTGGCTCTGGCCACGCCAAACGCAGAGACCAGGCCGGCCCTGCGGTGCGCAGCTTGAGCCAGAGCCGCCCGCTCGATGCCGAAATGCGGACCGGCAGGGAACTCGCTGGCCATAGCTGGAGAAAGCAGCTGGGGGGCGATCCGGAAAAAAAGCCGGGGGTAGCGGGCACACCGGCTGCCGGGTCCCCCGCGGCCCGGCCTGAAGGAGCGGAGATAGGGAGTGCCTGGGAGCTGGCTCCCCCAGCTCCGGCGAGTGCGCGCGCGGGGACCCCGGCAGGCCGCCACCTTCAGCCGTCGGGCCTCGCGCCACCCTTTCCCGCAGGGCTGGAGACGCGGCTGTCTTTCCACCCTCCGAAACCCAGACGCCCCAGAACTTCGGCTTCTTTCCGTCTCCGGGCGGGCCAGCGCCGCTTCGCGTCTCTCCCGCCCCGAGCACCGGGTGGACTTCTCTTCTGGGCCTCGGGCGGCGGCCGCGGCGGCACACGAAAGACAGAGCGCGGCGCGTCTCCCTCGCCAGCATTTTATTGTCTGTGGCCGTTAACTTAACCATAAATACTGCGGTGGGCGCGCGGCGCGGGCGGCCCGCACACTTATTTACAGCTCCTCTTCCCTCCTCGCGACCCCTCCCGCAAGGCGGCGCGTGTGCAACCCAGTGCAAGTCCTCCGAGGCGGGCAGGCGCCCCGGGCGGCCCGCGGCCGTCAGCTGTCCGAGTCCACGTCGCTTTTACCTTCCTCTTCCCTCTTCTCGGGCGACGCCTTGGACGAAGCCTGGTTCCACTTCTCGGCGTTTTCCGACTCCGACGACGACGACCGCTTCTGCCGCCTCCACTTGGCGCGGCGGTTCTTAAACCAGACCTGTTGCGCAACCGAGCACAAAACAACGGGTCAGGGCCCGCGGCGCGCTCCCCCTACCCCGCCCAGCCCAGCCCGCGGTGCGGGGCGCCCCGGGGAGTCGGCGAGGCCCCGGGCCCGCAGCGGCGAACGCCCGCGCTCCCGCCCACCAAGCCCGGCAGCGGCTTCCGCGTCTGCGCTCCACTTCCCGGGCCTAAAGCGCCGCACGGCAGCGACCGGGCCGCCGGCGCGGGGAGTGCCCCCGGGGAGCCGGGCGCGCCCGGCTGCTGTGCAGGGCGACCACCAGGCCCGCGGGGCGTCTCACCTCCACCTTCTCCTCGCGGAGGTGCACCTTCCGGGCCAGCTGCTCGCGCGTGCCCACGTCTGGGTACTTGGTCTCCTGGAAGAGGTTCTCGAGCGCTTCGAGCTGCTCGTCGGTGAAGATGGTGCGGTGCCGCCGCTTCCGCCGGCAGTGCAGCTGGTTGAGCAGCTGCAGCTCGGTGCGCGACAGCGTGCCTACGTTCATGTAGGGGAGCATCTGGTGCGGCACCGGGGACACCAGCACGGAGCCCGGGCCCTCGTAGCCTGCCGCGGAGAGGGGCGCATGGTCAGTCGCTTCCCGCGCCGCCCTCGCGCGCCCGCCCGCCCGCCGCCCTGTCCCCGCTGCGAGGGGATGCCAGGACCCGGGACAGCAGGCAGGAGAATCCGGGGAGTGGAGGGAGCGTGTCGAGACGCCCGCCCGCACACACCCCAGGCCGGCTAGGAACTCTCAAAACCCGGGCTCCCTGAGCGGGCCCCGGAGAGCGGTACTCGCCAACTCTCGGCCAAAAGTCCGCGGCAAAGGAAGACGCAGACTCGGGCGCGCGGTCTACCGCAGGCAAAGGTTGGGGTGGAGGCCTCGCGGGAGGAGCCAGGTCGGTGCGCGGGGACTGCCCGCCGCGGGCGCCCCGGCTCCAGGGACTCGGCGGAGGCCGGCGCGCGCGGGGGACCCTACCTGGCGGCGTCGGGACGCAGGAGCACTGCTGGGCGCCCAGCGGCGGCACGGCCCCGCAGCAGGCCGGGCCCACGGGCGCCGCCTGCACGTGCAGCTGCCCGTAGAAGTAGTTGCTGTAGCCGAGGCGGGAGCCGCCGACCGCGGCCGGGAGGCCCGCGCCGCCGGGGGCCACGGGCCGCGGGTAGAAGGCGCCGTAGTCCGAGGAGGCGCTGCCGCCGCCGCCGCCGCCGGCGCCGTAGAGCGAGTCCCCGTGCAGGGCCGGGAAGACGACCGGAGCCGCGGCGCTAGGCGCCACCGGCAGCACCGAGTCCTTGCAGCGCGGCCGGGCGGCCAGGATGTTGTCGATGCTGAACATGCTGGCGGGCATCCCCGAGCCCCGCGCCGGGACCGGGGGGCGGCGGGGACGCGCCGAGGAAAAAGCCTCAAGGTCGGGGGGCGGGGGGGTGGGGTCCACGCTCCTCCCGCGGCCCAGCAAACCGAAAGAGAGCGCGGCGAGCGCGCCGCCCGCGCCCCTCCCCGCCCCCTGCGCCCGCGCCCGCTGCTCCCGCCTCCCCGGGCCGCGGCGTGCGCTCAACTCGGGCCGCGGCGTGCGCGCAGCTCCGGCCGGCGGAACCTCTGGCTGGTTTTATACCGAGTCGACGTCATCCTGGATTTAGTTCCTGGTAGTATGCAGATGACAAACAGAACCAGATTCGGCCCTTTCTTTTCCTGGGGTGGGGGTTGGGAGGGGGGAGAGGAGCCGAGGGGAGGGGGCCGTGGGGCCTGCGGAGAGATTGTGGGTTGCGAATTAACGACATTAACCTAATCTCCGCGGGCCGGCCTAATTGCCCCGGTTAATCGCATTAATTCCATTGTGCCGCGCCGTTAACAGCTCCCCGCGCCCGCGCCCCGCGCCCCCACCCCCTTTTCTCTGGCTGGGCTCCGTTACGGGGTGCGATTTCCTCTGCCCGCGGAGCTCGGAGGCATCCCGACCGGGGGTTCCTCGGGAGGACGGCCCCCGCCCCCGTGTGGAAATCGGTTTTGTTTTTTAGAAACAGGGAGCGGCCGCGTCCTCGCTCACACGGGACTGAAAACCCGCCCTCCGCGGCCCGCGCCCGCGCCGCCTAACTTCGCCAAGGTGGCTTCTTTTTCAATCTCCACTATCCCAAATGGAATTGGCTAACCCCTCCAAGCTTTTGTTTTTGCAAAAGCCAAAATTTGTAAAAAGCAAAAACGACGAAAGAAGTGGTGCATCGTGTTCTGTTTAAAAAAAAAAATCTTCTTTCTTTTCTTCTTCTTTTTTTTTCCTTTTTTTTGTAGCGACTTTGAGTCCGAAAACCACCATGGCGGTCCCGGGTCCTTACACGACGAAGACGGAATCCTTCGCCGCTGCACTCCGAGGTACGCTTCCAGCTAACCCCTACGCGGGCGGCGGGAGGTTTTGACCTTTAAAAAAAATGGTTTTGGAAATGGGCGTCTTCTCGCCCAAACTTCGTAGTTTGCAGTCCAGATGGGGCCTGTGCGGCTTCCCAAGAAACAGCACCCCCCCCCCCCGCCTGACCTGTTCCCTCTGCCGCGGGACAGCTGAGGGCTCCCCAGGCCCCGGTGGCCCTCTCTGAGCTGGGGTTTTCGGGCATCCGGGAAGGAAGGCGGCGGAGCGCGAGGAGGCAGAGCAACCGAGGTCCCGCGGCGCCGCGCGCCACCTCGCCGGGGACGTGGCAGCCACCGAGGGCGGGCCGGGAGACCCCTTGGGCCGCCTGTCACTCACACGCGTTGTTGCCGGGTTCTCTCCCGAAAAGGACCCCGGGTCCCCCGCAGAGGTTCTAAGTGAGTTGGCGTCCCGGTGGCGGCGGCGGTGCTGGGTGAAAGGGGACCGCTCTTCCCGGATCCGAGAGCCACAGCGGGAGAGGTCGGGTCCTACCCAGCTGGGGCTCGCGGGAGCGGTGGAAGGACGCAGGCCTGCCCACGGGTACCCCCTGCGTCCTGTCGCCCGCGCGCCCCGGGCCCCGGGGAAGCTCGCTCCTTGCTTGGAGCTCTGCGCGCGCTGGAAAGGGGCCTAGTGGGATTGGGACAGGAAAGAGACGGGTCTCAGTCTGGGGGTGGGGGAGTGAGGCAGATTATGACTTTCTAAGGGTAGACTGCTCCGGGCCTGCGGTGTGACCTCAGAGGGGTCAGGCCGAGGCTGCGAAGCAGGCGCCCGCCCTTGCCCACTAACCCGGGGTCCAGGCGTTGTCCTCCCCGCCACCCCGCCCCGGTTCTCAGAGCTCCAGAGCGCGGCGCTCCCCTCGCACCCTTCTGCGGATGCCGCAGCAGAAGGGGTGACCTGGCCTGCGCAAGTTTGCCGGCCAAGCGGGCCGGTGGCTCTTTGCGGGGTGTTTGCCCGAGCCGGGCGGGTGCAGAAGAGCCGCGGGACCTCGGGGCAGACTCCCCGCACCTCTGTGAAGACCAGCAAAGCTGCTGCTGCCACTGGGCAGCAGGGCGCGGAGACTGTGAACGTGCGTGCGGGACCACACCGCCCTCGGTGGCTCCATTGGCGCATTGTTCCTTTGATCACCAAGTCGGGGGGACTTCAGAGCGCGCCCCTGGGTCTCCAGCGGCCCTCTGGCTGGGGGCCCGCTTCCCCTGATCCTTTGTGAGGGAGCACGCATCCCAGCGAGGCTGGGGGTCTTCATCCTCCATCCGCGATCTCTCCTTCCGAGGTCTGGGGCCTCTGTCCATCCAACCAGCTCCAGCAGTCACTGGGTCCCCTACAGCCCGAACAGTTCAGAAAGGTAGCGGTCACTCCTCCTCAAGGGAGTTTAGGGACGGACTTGAGAGCAGGTTCTGGCACTTAGGAACCCAGGGGCGTGTAGTCCCTACCTACCCTCACCTGGGCTGGGGGCAGGGTTTCCGCTGCCCTCCGGCAGAGGGGACTCCGGAAAGGGATGGCCCAGACCCAAAGGCCGGGCGCTCGGGTCTCCCCCGTTGGGTGTCCTGTGTCCCCGGGGAGGCAGCACCGGGGAGGCGGTCGGGCACCGAACCACGAGTGTCAGCCAAGAGCCGAACGGAAAATTTGCGGCCCGCAAGGCCAGGCGCAATCGGAATAACAAACGCGCCGCACGCAAATTGCCCGCTTCGTGTTGCTAAGCGATTGTTGGTGGCTCAGCATGGGAGGGCCCGGGCGGTGCGGAGGCAGCCGGGCGAGCGCTTGGGTCACGCATGCAGTAAACACGGCGCTGATTTTCCCTATTATCACCCAAACACGATTTCACACAAAGCAATCACCACGCACAAGTCTATGAAAATGTGCTTGTCACGGAGCCGCGCGCCCCGGTAATAGCCCTCCTGTTTAAGATATTAAAGACCGGATCAGCGGATTCTACACGCACGAGGTGTCTGGGAGCTTGACATCCTACAGGCGCCTTGGCGCGGCCGCTGCCCTGAATTGGCTCCAAGGGCGCGGACTAAATTGCTTCTCCCATTTGCAACGGGGTACTGCGCTTGTCCTCCCGTTCCGGGACATCCTCGCCGGGAAGAAACCGCCGCCTCGCTACCCTTGCACCCCACTCCCATAAGTACAAAAAGATTTTTTTTAAATAAATGGATCTGCGCCCCCAACTTCTTAAGATTCGTTTCAAGAACTTTCTCAGTTCTCTGTCTTTGCCCGGGACACAGAGCGGAGGTCACTATCGGATGCCTTTACGTAGGATTCTTTTTTTTCTTTGCAAAACACTGGCGCGCCCTTTTCCAAGGCAGGAGCCCTTCCCGGGCATGTGGGCCGCACTGGGGAGCCGGGTACTCAGCGCGGACCCCATCCGGCCCCCGCACGGCGCAGGATGCGCCATCTTCACCATGCCGATCGGTCTAGGGGTTTGTGTTTGGGCTTAAAAAAAATCAAACATCTCAGAACTAGTGCTGAAACCCAGTTCCGCGGCCCTACCCCTCCCCGCGGGGCCTAACGGTAGCCTCTGGTTGGGCCGGTGGAGTTGAGCGAAAGACGCAGATGCCCCCGGCACTCGGAGGCGGCGCGCAGCGCTCCGTAACCCCGCATTCAGCGGGGCGTAGGGACGCGCGCGGGCTGCTTTTTTGCTTCAAGTTTTGCAACATTCCCAATAAAAGCACGGAGTCCCTTAGGACAAAATAATCACGGTATTAGGGAGAGCTCAGCGCAGCCCTGGGGGAAGAAGGTGTGTCCCAAAGGCCTCCGAAGGGAGAAATAAAGCGGATTTGGTGTTCGGAGGGTTTGAGCAATCCGCTTCCAGCCGGGCTTTGTACCCAAGTCGGTTAAGTGACTGTTCCGCTGCGTTTGCAAATCACAGAATGCAAATGACGATCGTTTGTCCTCGAAGGAGCTTTCTCTTGAAATGATTAGCAGAGTCAGTCATTTGAAAATGAGAGCGAGCGCAGAGTGGGCTCCGAAGCCCTCGCGAGCCGATAGGAGCGTCTAAAGTTTTCCTTCATGTAAACCTCATTAATGAAGATCTTTTATTTAAACGTCACGGGGGTCTGAAATGTAGGGTAAATTATGAAGCGTGTATGTCTAGCCAAGTCATGGGTCAAATGCATTTGTGAAAAACTGCGAAGAGAGCATATGGTTTTGAATTTTTCTACAATGACTAGTGTTTAAATAAATTGCTTGTACTGCTTAACTTCATGTGTAATTTTGACAGAAATTGGCCTATAGCCTTTTGATATGTAAACATTTCAGCGTTTTATGCGGTATAAAAAAGACACTTGCTTTGTAGGATCAGCTCCGGCAGTCACCCTGTAATTCACAAAGCTGGCACCTACTATTACATTCTTGCTAGATTTCAACTTTTAAGTGGCAGCCTCAGGGAAAAAAAAAAAGAAAAGAAAAGAAAAGAAAGAGGATATTTCAAAAGCAATGTCCATTTGGGATTAAAAGCTGCAATGAGTTGAGAACGTGCCACTTACTATCTGAAAGAAATGGATAAACCACGGTTATTAAAGAACATTTCTGTCATTTTTCTGTAAGTCAGCCCGTTCAAGGGGACACTTAAGCGGGGCTGGGGACTGACTGGCATGTCATTAACTGCTTGTCTTAGGGCCGAGCCAATCAGTCCAACACGCAAATAGGTATTAAACGTCTAGGTATCATTTCAGGATGTTACCAGCCAGACGGCTCCATGTCACAGAGCACATTAAGATGCAAAAATCAGCTTCCCAAGGGAGCACCCGAGGCACCGTCGCTGGACACAAATGGCCTGTCTGGGTCACCACCGCACTCGGGGGTCTTTCTGGGTGGGAGATGGTTCTGGGAGCGGTAAGGTCGGCCCTGGGTGCAGCTCCCAGCCCCCTCTGGGCTGCCAGGGTTTGTGAAACGTGTAAATCTGCATAAACCCATTTGTTACCAAGAGATCCGTCTCCCATAAATAAGCATGGGAATGTGGATTGGGTGGCCGCTCTGCAGGGGGATACTGAGCACCCGAATAGTGGTGTGGGTGCCAGACGGAGCCCTGCACAGACTTCCTGCAGGCACAGCTTCTTCCCGCCTGCTGTCTCGGCTTGCCGGTCGGTCCCGTGTATCGGTGGTGTCAGTCTTGTCAATTTAAGACTTTTCCCGTGACACCGCTCCTTCTGTGATGTTTTGGCGGGGCTGGGGGTGGGTGGGGGTGGGTGGGGAGATGGCTCCCCAGGCAGGAGAGAGACTTGTTTCTTTGTACTGAGCACGCTGAGATCCTCTTTCTGAAAGAGACCTTGCTGGAGCGAAATCTAATTAAGAAGAAGGCAAGAAAGAAAGAAAGAAGACGCGAAGGGGGAAGAGCGGGGGAGGTGTGTTCCTGACATTTCTGTGCTTTCCAGCTCATCATACTGTGGTCGGCCGACACCGGAAAGGCAGGGACACACTCGGTGACACAGAGGTAGAAGCTTTGATTGGTCCTCAGAGCCTTCTGCTCTCCAGCCTAAACTTTCAGACCAATTTGAAATGAGTTAAGAGTAAAATCCACTCCCTGCCCCCCCCCCCTTAGCTGCAGTTTTAAAGTTCTTGGGGAAAAACCATTGATTTGCTAATATAAATAGTTCCGCTACCTTCAGCTACCTCCAACTGCTTAACTTTGAGAGACTTCTCCCCCAAATGTGTTTGTGATCAAAATGAGCTGGGCAGGGGACGTCTTTTGGGTGAAAAGAGGACATTTAATACTTACAAGACAATTTGGGAGGTCGAGGGTTTTTTTTTACAGACTTTTTTTTAAGGTGTATATATATGTGTGTGTGTGTGTGTGTGTGTGTGTGTATGAGCCAATAAAACTGGAAGTTACAGGAAAAGCTAACCTGGCCTGGGTGACAGTTGACTGTTTGTCCAGAAAGGTTAGCGTCAGTGGGGTTACATGTAACACTGAGCCTTGTGAGCCAGGCACCTTTTTTTTTAAACAAACCCTGAAGGAGGGCTCTCTCGCTGG